TTTTAATACAGAAAAGACATCATAAGTTTAAAAAGACATACTCACAAGTGTCAGAAAAGAGTTTTCATAACTGAGAAACAGGATAATAGGGAAGTAATCAAATAGAAAACAAGCTTAAGAGGTTTTGTCACATGGATTTGTACACTGAATGTGAAGTAGCACTCAAATTTATTATTGCTCCACCCCTGAAAAAGGTCAAAGGTAAAACAGCCCAATTAATAATATCTGTTTTTAAAGTACCAGTTTGTGACAAATTACAATATTAAGAAATGAATATTTTGCCATCATAAAGAACTGACTCTTCCACATTGCCACTTACATAACTAAGAATTCATCATTTATATTTTTGAACAATCCATCTCATAGGCATTACAGTGACTCTCCTCCTCATGTTTGGAATGGATCCCAGAAGTGACAGATGCGTTAAACATAAAACTTATATCAAAAAAATTCAAGTGTTTAAAAAATGCTGTTCACTGATCCTGCATCTAATCCTAAACTACACACAGACATATGCTTGTTAGCACAATCTGCAGGCAAACTAATAAATGATCATGAAAAGTCCAATACTGTATGCAGTGATATTTCACTGGTATCTGTCTATTAAAATTCATTAGGCTTTAATGTATCTTCCAAAAGTAATCAAATACAAATATGGACAAGACACGTTCCGGATTTGTCAAAAAGATGTCTGTGTACCTTGACCTTTATAACCAAATCTTTGTTCACTCCTCAATACATATGACTATCCATCTTACAAAAACACCACACTTCAAGGTAGAAGGTATAATACAATTCTCAGTTTTATTTTACCTTTTTTTTTCCTATTTACTTACGCAATCTCTCAGTTCCCACATTTACTATTAGGCTTCCTATCCAAACATTAATGACTATGAAACATACCTCCAAGCCAAAAAAAAATTAGTTTCCTCAAATCAGTCTTCTGAAATGTACAGAATCAAGTCCAAAATAGATTTTGCCCATTTCTTCAGTTTTACAGAAAATGAAGAAAGTGAATTAATATTAAATAGATATCTGGCTGCCTTCACAATCGAACAGACGGTACAAAGCAACTGCTTATACTTAA